CGGAGGGAGCTCCGGGCAGCAGCCAATTCAGCAGGGCTGGATTCAGGGAACAGCTTTCATTTCAGTGCCCTGCGAACAGAGCAGGGGACACCTGGTACCTGGGCTGGGCTTTCCTGCCTGATAATAACTTCTGCTCCTAGAGCGGCTTGGATCCAAAGATGACAGCTTTGAGCAGTCCTGTTAGGCACATCTCATCTCTGACGGGGAAGCGCTGCTTTATTTTCCACATGGGAAAGAGACCCAGAGGAACAGATTTAACTAGTTCATGCAATAAGTAGCACAACTGGGATTAGGGCAATGTCATCTGACGCCATGCTGATTTTAATCACAAGGACATCCCCGCTCTGCTCTTCCTCTGCTCCCTGCCAGCTACTGCACACGAGATCCTGTCCTGTCATCACTTCTCACACAGCCCTGCAGATCTTGCAAACCACTTCAACAACCTCAATCGCTCTTCAAATACCGTGCGCAGGGCAGAGCTGCGAGACCGAGCCCTCTGAAGGGGTGACGCAAGGCCAGGCTTACACGTCTGGTAATGATGTGGATAAATAACCAGTCCCTAATAATAACGCCAGCTCTCGGGGCAGGGACTTGGTCTGAGTCTGCTGGTGCAGCAGCCAGCGAAACAGAGCATCGTTGCTTGATGTTTTTTGAGCACAAGTGTAAAAAAATATATTAAATGAGGATAATGATAGAAAAATACCAGCAGGGTGCCACTAACATCTTCATTAGCAACCTGAGAGAAGATGCAAACAGCAAGGAAATTAAATCTGCAGACGGTACTAAATAGGGGGAGGATGACAGCATCAAAAAGACTGAGAAATAATAGAGAAGTCGCAGGAGAGACAGACCAGGAAGAGTCTCCCCTGCCTATGGGAACCAATGGTCTCAGCAGAGTCAAAACAAGCTTCCGTGGCTTCTGAAAAAGTCAGGGCCACCATCAAAAGGCAACAAGCAGGACAGGGAACCATTTAATCTTCAGGTGGTGGGTACAATCTGCAAACGTGGCTTCCTTGCACTTGTGAAATGATTTCTTCTGGATAATGCAGAAGCTTCAAAGGTGAGTTGGTGAGAGGAGAGGTGTGAGTCAAAGCACCGTGCCTGGAAAGAGCTCTGCGGTGGCTCGCTCTCTGAGAGGTCTCTGCTGCAGCAACCCCTTACCTTACTTGCTAATATACTGCAGATCCTTAGAAAATATTCAATGCTTTCTGCGTGCTGTAAGGGGCAAAAACACGTCATCGTATTTTCCCTCTCCCCCTGATGCGAGGAGGAGTCTTTGTCCACCAAGAACTGCCTGGATGACACTGCTGACAAGTGGCTTTGGTGCCGGTGGCTGATGAACCTGGGCTGAATCATCAGCGTGAGCAACAGGGATTTCCTACTCCCAGCAAGATCCAGCTCAGATTTCCGAGCTGGCGCTGCACGCTTTTTCACCCTGTGAGCATTGGCAATTAAATTAATCTCAGCTTTCTTCAGGTGCACTTGCTGCTCATGATAGTCCACAAAAACATGTATTCCCTCATAAACCAGCTTCAGAAGCACGCTCAGATCTCTGAATTCAATCTCAGCAGCTTAGGGAAACAAACGCTGCATAAAGCGGTCCTGGGAAACAAATAGCCCACTGCAAAAAGGGCAACAAATTAGGAATTATAAATAGTTTGCAATATGGGAGCAGCAAAAAGCCAGTGAGATATATACCTGCACGTGCCACAGCATCGTGGCACTGAGAAGAGAGGTAAATCTCTCGGCAATAGCTTTGATAACAGCGCTCCTGGAATATACTACTCTTCCCCCAGTGCCTCTGCAGCCAAGCAGTGCCAGCAAACTGGGAGGAATTTACAGAGACCAGAGCTAATTGTGAGGCTCCTCTACGGGCAGATTAAAAGCTAGTTACCTACAGCTCAGTTTCCAGAAGCTGTCACAGCCATTTTACCAGTGCCTGAAGAACATACCCAGAAAGGAAGAGGGGGAATCGTTAGGGAAAGAAAAGTACTTGTGAGAGACCAGGATATATTTTTCCACCAAGAAGGAGGATGAGATTCTCCACTTAAACTGTAAATCAGCAGATGCTACAGGCACAAAAACCACCCTACACTAGCTGCAGTGTCCTTTCCTTCTCTCTCTCCCAAGACTTGATCCCATTCAAGGCCAAACACTCCTGCAGATTTCAGTGTATTCCAGTCCCAAAGCTCCCTCTGCTGCTCATATTCCAACCTCTCCCCATTCCACCCACGACTGAGAAGAGACACAACCTCATCAGAAATATTCTCTTAATCTCCAGTTTCCATCTCTCTCTGCTAAAAAAAGTTGCAGGGCTCAGAAATGCCAATTTCTGTGAGAATCAGCCTCCAGCTGCAGATGCCTCTCCAGCTCTTCATGGCAAGGAGACATCCATCAGCCTGGTGTGTCCTCCTCTTCCATCCCAAGGAACACATTTATTCCGTCTCACAAGATGGTCTTGGTTTGCTATCAAGCCCTAGATGGCCTGGTGACTCCCACAAGCCCTAACCTGACTATACAATGGCCAGTGGAGTGACCAGACATGAAACGGTACTGAGGACAGCCATGCTGGGCTTGGTACCAACCGCAGGCTTTGTGGGTTAACAAAACACACCCCAAGGAAAGCCACCGCTCCAGGTTTTGGGCCTGGAGTCAGTCACAGCATCACAGACACAGACCTCAGGAGGTCTCTCATCCAACCTCCTGATCAAAGCAAGGTCAGCACTAAATTCAGGTGAGGTTGCTCCAGGCTCTGTCCTGTTGGGTCTTCCTGGGTGGAGACTGCACAACTCCCCTGGGCAATGCCTGCTCCAGTGCTCAGCTGTGCTCATGGGGAAGTTTTTGTTCTTAGGTCCCATCAAAACCTTTCCTTCAAATTTATCACCCTTGTCTCTCATCCTCCTGCCATGTAATCAGCAAAGAGTTTGGCTGTCTCTCTATAAGCTCCTTGCAGGAAACAGAAGGTCTCTTTTCTTCCCCAGCCTCTCCACCAGGCACGTGCTCCAGTCCCCCCCCCCATGTTGGTGGCCTCCCACTGGACTCATTCCAGTTTATGAATATCTTTTTTTGTGATCACAATATTCCAGATGTGGTTTAACCAATGCTGAGGCAAAGAGGATCACTTCTGGCCATACTGGGCGATCATGCCACCAGCTCCCCTTGCTGCCAGAGCTCCCATTCTGCTCACTGGCTGCCAAGATCCCCTGTGCCTCCAGCAGAGCCGCTCCCCAGCATCCAAGCAGGGGTGCGTCCACCCCAGCTGCAGGGTTTGGCATCGGGCCTTCAGAAAAACCCTGTCAGCCCTTTCCTCCAGCCTGTTGAGGCTCCTCTGAATGGCAGCCCTGCTGCTGAGCAGTTCAAGGTAAAGTTCAAGGAAGAGAAGTTCAAGGAAAATGCCCTGAGGAACATCACCTGCAACCAGCCTCCACAGAGATGACAAGGCAACCACCATGGCACTTTGAATCCAAATGACCCAGCCAGTTGTCAGCCCTGGAACCCAAACTATAATGACTGACCTTGGATGCACGCAAGCTCCAGGAGACCAGGCTAAAAACCTTGATAAATACAAAGTAAAAGATATTCACCACTCTAATTACTGGATCATAGAAGGTAATCAGCTTAGTCAAGCATGATTTTACCCCTAGGTAAACTCATCCTGGCTATTCCCAATGTCCTTCTCCTCCATATGCCAAAAATTGGCTTCCAAGAGGTCTTACTAATTTCTTACTAATTTCCCAGAGACCAAAGGGAAGCTGACTGGCCTGAAGCGTCCAGGATCGTCTTTACTTTTCTTTTTCAAGATGGACATGATAGTCACCTTTCTACAGTTATCAGGGTCTTCTCCTGATCTCCGTGACCTTTCCAACCTAAAAGTGGTCTCACAAAGATATCTGCCAACTGTCTCAGCACATCTGGATGCACACCATCCTCAAAGGACTCCTGATTCAATTTCCCTTAACTACAGGTACTCCTTATCCTCCTTGTGCCCTGCCTTTAAGCGTGAGATCTGTGGGAGATCTTGTTGGGGAAGCCTGAGGCCAAGAAGGCCTCAGTACCTCAACCTTATCTGTGTCACCTGGTCACCTCATTCAGCAAAAAGCCACTCAAACATCCCCTGACTCCCTTGGGAGTCTTGATCTGCTGTCATCTCCAGCTGGCCCTCCTTCCCTGTATCTAGGGGCTCTGGGTGTCCTCTCTGCAGGGTCTCTGTGAAGACCCCACAGCTCTCCTGTCTCCCTTTACATCCTTTACCACACAAATCCCTGCGATAACTGCAAAGTCTCTGGTGGCTGTGCTCAGGGAGCTGTTTGCTGCACTCCAAAAGCAGCCAAATAGGTACTTGATCCTTCCTAATCCCGAGTTCTCCCTGCGATGGGAAGATCGACATAGTTACAGCCAGAGGTAGCAAAAGATTGCTGCTTGGCCGGGAAAAACTTGGAGCAATTCTTTCTATTAGGACTCCCATGAAGTTTCAAGAGCAATCAGTGCTTTACAAGGTACATGAAGGTAAGATGTAAGCTCCCAAGTTTGCCAAATGAGGATAAAAACCAGAAATGCAACATTAATGCATTGCAGGCTCCTGTCTTCCACAGCCCAGCTCAGCCACTGCGTCCTGCTGCACATCCGTCACGCAGCACGGGAAGCAACAGCCAGCACCAGCCCCTGCCGAACGGTCCGTCCAGCCAGCACTGATCTAATTAAACAGGTGTGAGTCCCTATCGAAAAGAGTTTCAGAGCACATGAGAAACTAGTTTCAACCCAACTGATGAGGGAATTAGTCTGTGTCAGTCCACCGCTCCCTTCCACTATTGCTGAAATGCACTTACTCGGTACATTCTCTTTCTAGACGTACAAGACCGTGTAGTAGTTGTGTCTTCTCTCATCACAGTCTAAAATCTCCACTCAATGCCTTCTCTAGACCACCTCATGGAGGAGAGTTGTATTACTCTAAAAGTTTGCTGGCTAGCGCAAGTTTGTAAAAGTTTATTTGCTGTACTCACCTGCTCATTGAATTGCTCTTGCGATAAACAATCGGTGATGTCCACACAGCCTAGGAGGCACCCTGAGGGATAATCGCTCGGAAATTCCACATCTGCATCAAAAGGAACATCTCATAATCAGCCCCACATCCCCACACAGTGCTGGGGTCTTCTATCCCCCAGGTGCCTTTCCCTCCCACCATGCACTTCTACTTTTTGAGGCACAAGAAAACACACAGCAATTTTAACACCCTGTCATTCTTTTTCCAGCTCAGGATCTTCACCGTGACAGGACTAAGGTTGAGAGAATTAATTATATATACACCTTCCCCTGCTTGGCTTCTGAGAGAGGAGCATACAGTGCAGGAAGAGCCCTTTGCCCGGACAAGGGAGCAGATGATCCTGCTGTAGGATGTTTCAGCTGGGTGACGAGCAGAAACACTGCAAAACTGCTGAACAGCACAGCCCCCAGCATCCTCCCACCCACATGAGAGACTAATGTCTTCCCGAGAACCTGCAGCTTTTCCATCCTGATTTCCACAAGGACAGAATACTTGAAGAGCCCTTAACACGCCTGTAAACAGGTTGAAGCACAAGCCACTTCACCCACAGGCAAGCACACACTCCATAGCTCGTTGCTTGAGCCAAGAACAAAATGAAGTCCTTTGCCATCAAAGGCCATCTCAGAAGCCAGGTGCAATTTGATGGTGTTTGTGCCTGGAGAACGTGACCAGCTAAAGGACGGAGTTAAAGTCTGCCACCACATCCATTCAGCTGACGAAACGTAGAAAGGATGAAGAGAATTTCAAGAACAGAAGGTTAAGAAGCAAAGCGGTAATAACCGCTCAGCAGAGGGGGCTTTCTGACACTGCTCATTACGTGGCTCAATGTACCAAATAATACAAAGATCCAAGGAGAGAAGTTCACCTTTCCGGAGCAGCATTCTGTAGGTGGTCTCCAGTTCAGAGATTTCCTGAGGGGAAGGTCTTTTAGCAGTAGCTGCAATCCATAACCGCCCTCTATGAGATGTGTACCAGGTCCTGCCCTCCACCCTAGAGAATAAAGGAGAATTTAGGACTTAAATTTCAGCAGAAATCACCCACAAGGACAGATTTTTCAATCGAACGTTTTGCTACACAATTCCTGCTGCTAAGCTTTGCCCTCACTATTTAAACTCCAGTGACGTGTCAGCACTACAGAGAAAAGCTGAGATGGGCAAGAAATAAAGCCACAAGCAGAGCATGTCCTCGCCGCTTTAGAGCAACAGCAGAGAAGGGCATCAGTCCCCTGCAAGTACAGCAGTATGTCGGGCACGGGCGTAGGACAATCTGCTCGTGCAATTCTCTTACAAGCTCAAAACGCTACGCACAGTAAGGACACAACCTAGGGAGTCATAGCAGACCACGCACCCATAGGAAGTGGTCGTTAGCTGTGGCTCTCGGGCTGTGCTGGAGCAGCTGACAGCAGCCCCACACCTCCCAGATGCAGAAACCAAGGTACATTAAGATTGACATCATCTTCAGGTTGGGAAGTGGAAAAGCTTTGCTCTCTAAAATGGAAAACTCCGTGAAGGAAAGGAAAAAAAAAAAAAAGGCTAAAGAAGATCCTTAGCTCTATGTTAGTGGTAGGAAATGTGAATTAACGTGCCAGGGATGCTGGGCTGAAGGAGCTTCTCTTTGCAACCCAGCTCCTAGCCCAGAGGGGACGGTGGTGGCAAAGGGGAGTGTGTAGGTGGTTAGTCATTTTTAACAAAGCCTGGTGCCACTGTTGCCTTCTTTATGATGGACAAAAAGACCAGGAAAACATACTTCACATTTGCATCTTTCATTTGCCTTTCAAATTCCAGAAAGGTACACTGTGACTACAGGGCAGAAATCTCAGCCTCTCTCTGAATTTACCCACTGTGATGAAACTTGTACCTTTCAGGTTCGCTACTCTCATGAAAAACAGATTCACTGGTTTCTCAAACCCTCAGTGGCTGAGGAAGCATGGCTTCCAAACCTGGAGCTGTCAGTAGCTCTCAGTGAGCGTACAATGCCAGGGAGTCCACAGAGGTCCTCTGAGAAGCACAACCTCCCATCTCGCCTACAAAGCAAGAGCTGACCAGGACATATTACAGTTCAGGCCACCCCTGTACCTTTTGATTCCTCTTACGAGCAAGGAAGCCCAAGGCTGGTGCATGCTCAGGCACCAACCATCATCTGCGATCTCCTGCAGCTCTCGATCCTGAATCCGCAGCCTGTTCCGCTCCGAGCCAGGCTCATTTCCAGTGTCCATGGAATGGATGGCTTTCCTGTGTGGGAGCAAACCAGTTTGGTCCACCCACTTCAGAGTGTTCAAAAGAAATAAGAAAAAGGTTAGCACCTCTCTAGGAAAAACGTACATCAAATGCAAATCCTATTTGAAGTTTTCCTTCATTTAAAGACAGAGACATTACTCCTACTAGGATCACCTTCCCTCCTTGCAAGCTTGCTGCACTTACATTAAATACTTTGGCAGGAGGAAAGCAAGGTCATGCTCCCCTTTGTGCGGTTTTTCCTTTCCACACAACACAGCTAAACTATGGATGTAAAGAATAAATCCACCTGCTGGTGTTTCACAGCATTCACAGGAAGACACCATTTTCAAAGCAGTCACAGCCATCAGCACTCAAATCTGGGAATCATCCAGCCTCCAAATGCTTCGCGTGCACTAAGCATGCCACAACTGCAGTGGAGTTGGAAGGGAGAGATTACGCCCTTTTGAAATTGGAAATCTGGCAGAAAAGGCTTCATAACTAGAGCTGAAAAAGTGACACAACCTTAAGCTGGCTCTCAGAAATTCTTCCTAAAAGGGAGGCAGGAGACTAAAACCCCAATAAACCAAACTTCCCAAGGGCAGGAAACAGAGCAGGGCATTGGCAAACCTTTTCTGTCCCCAACTCAGATGGCTAATGAGGATTTCTCAGACACAGGGGGGAAAGCGGTACCACAAACATGTTACAATTCACAATTCTTGAGCTCTGTCCTCCCAGAGTTAGTCATTATTCTGGTAGAAATCATTCAACTCATACTGACCAAAGGAGCAGGCTGAAGAAGACGGGGATTCACTAAAACACCAGAACTCAAAGCCGCCTTTGCTTCCGGGCTCCCAGCTGGCTGGCTCAGCGCGCCACAATTAATGGCCTCAATGGTTTCATCCAGTCTGCAAGCACAAACGAGAGGCATGAAAATTGCTTCTCCCAGCAATGTCCCCCTTCTCTCTGCAGAAACTCTTCTGACCCAAAGCATTTTTTACCACCTCCCCTCACTAAACGATTTCCTTGCCAGGTCCGATTCCCAGTTTGAACAGTCACTCCTCTCTGCTGCAGCAGCTCAGCCTGGTTTGAATTTGAGATGGATTGGTTCTGTTGGGAGAGCCCTTCTGCAACACCTCTTGCCAGGGCAGCTTTATCTTTAACAGACATGAGGGCTACTGAAACCCCGGGCAAGCCTCGCACGGCTGGGCTTAGGGGGGGGTCTCTGCAGAGCTGTGCTGAAGGAGCCAATATGCTGCAAGCCAAAAAGACCTCTGCTCCCAAGTGCCCAAGTGCCCTTCAGGGGGTCGGCTCGCTCAGTTTTCCTTACACTTGCTCTTCCAGATTCAACCAGACCAGTGTCCAGACCAATTGTGACCTCCCTGCTGTCGGGGATGCCTTCGTGCTGCCAGTTCTCACTCACTTGCTGTGGTATTCAGCCATGCTATTGTCTTCTTCCAGAATCTGCCTGCCAGCGAAGTCGATGGTGATTTTTTTGGCAAGCCGAGAGGCGTGACGCAGCTCTCGCAGCTCCTGCTCTCTCTTCTGCAGGGCTTCCCTTTCCTGCTTGGAGAGCCACTGGTTGGAGTCCGTGGCAAAGTAATCTGATTCATCGTCGATGACCTGGGTGCGACGCACGCTGGTGAGAAACAACCACAAGAGGAGAAGAGAGGCACGATGGGAGAGTCACACAGCGCTGCCTGCCCCAAACCTGCCTTTCCACCGCCTCCCTTCTGTTCTCCCTAGAGAGCTGGACCGGCACGGACAGGGATGTCTCAGCACAGGAAGGACATGAAGCTGTTGGAGCTGGGCCAGAGAAGGCCACAGAGATGCTGTGAGGGCCAGAGCCCCTTTGCTGTGAGAACAGGCTGAGAGAGTTGGGGGGTTCAGCCTGGAGAAGGGAGACCTTAGAGCCCCTTCCAGTCCCTCAAGGGGCTCCAGGAAAGCTGGGGATGGACTCTGGATCAGGGAGGGGACCCCTAGGAGGAGGGGGAAGGGTTTGACACGGAAAGAGGGGAGATGGAGCTGAGATGTGGGGAAGAACTTCTTTGCTGTGAGGGTGGTGAGAGCCTGGCCCAGGCTGCCCCGAGAAGCTGTGGCTGCCCCATCCCTGGAGGGGTTCAAGGCCAGGTTGGAGGGGGCTTGGAGCAACCTGGTGGGGTGGGAGGTGTCCCTGCCCAGGGCAGAGGGTGGCACTGGGTGGTCTTTATGTCCCTTCCAACCCAAACCATTCTGTGATTCTGTGATTCTATACAAGCAAGGACATCCAAATAGGACCCATTCAAGGGGTTCACTCTTGTTCCACCAAACACCAAGGTTAAAGAATCTGTAGCTATAGCCTAGATTTTAGACGGAACTCTAATCCCTCCGTTAAAGGCAGCTTAGCTTGTCAGATAATTTATGGTACTTCCCAACAGTCTCCCAGTTCTCCCAGTATCTTACCTTGTCCTGTCAAATTCCAACAACTTGTCTTTGTGTTTCACAGCCATCTCCAGGCCTGCCTTCAGTCTAGCTTCTTGTCGAGGCAGTAAGTCTTTGCTTATAGCATCCAAATTCCCTGAGCTTTCAGCACCTGAGATAGAAATCACAACTCAATGGTCAGTTGTGTAAAGCCCAGTCTCAGTGGGCCTGGCTGCAGAAATGCCCCCAACACAAATGCCATTCAAAGAGCTAAAAGAACTTCGGACCTTTTCAAACCAGGTTCAAGCCCTGATTATCCCTCTAGTCCCTTTCACAGACTCCCTCCTTCAAAGAAGAGGAAGCATTTAAATACTACAGTGACAACATCTAGGTGGTGTTTAGAGAAAAGGTCTTTGATTCTCCTTCAGCTTTCCCTAACACTGTGGGCAGTGCAAATTCCACCCATCACCAGCCACAGGCCTTGAGTCCCCTCCTAAGAGCCAAACTCTCACCTAAGTGTTGTCACCTCCACACAGAGATGCGTGGTCAGGACAGATCACTGACAACTGCCAGGTAAGCAGAGAGCAAGCCTCCTGTCTGCTGCTCTGTGAGCCTCTCACAAACGAAATCCTCCCCCAACACACCTCAGCAGGTTTTTCAGACCAGCTATTGATAGAAACGGAGACATCTATTCCCAGCAACCACCTCTTCTCCACAATGGAAGATGCATTTCACAGAAGACATCACACAGGCTAATGCCTTTATTTTGGGGAAACAAAAAGGCCTGTATTTCCCTGTAGTCAACAATCCATATTTTTTCACTCCCCAGACCAATAGTTAACCACGTTTCAGCTTTCACCTGGGCAGATAATGACCAGCCCAAGACCTGGCAGGGGCCGAAGGGGAAACCAATAAAATGGGTAAGAAAAGGGGATCCTGAAGTATCTCAGGATTTCTGCGGGAAGATTATGAACAGACCGACTCTGTGATCAGCAGTTACTCTCAAGGACTTACAGGACCTCCTGCCATCTCAGCAGTTCTAAAGAGAAGTTGACACTGAGACCCAGAGTAAATATTTCCCCAGTTCTTCAGTAAAGTGTATTTTTCAACCAAGAACACTGTGACCTTGGCTATATTTCAGATAAACTCAGACAAACATCCCCATAATGCACAGGTCTTCTCTGGGAGACTGGGTATTATTTCCTCTTGCTTTCCTTGCCTCTGTTTCTATTTTTAGCTCCCAAGATAAGTGTTAGACAAGAAGAGTCATCAGAAAATATTAACCACCACCTCTTTAGCCCCAGCAAATCAAAGAGCAGCAGCATCTTCACAGCACACATTCCACATGAGACTTATCCTAATTTTCAAGGACTGCTACAATGATCCAGTTCATGTGATTGACTCAGGAATGCCTAACGAGCAGCCTTGGGGCCTCTGGGTAACGACATTATAGGCTGCCATTTGACACTCACAGTTATCACCTCTGTTGAAGGCCACAAATGCTGCTGAGAGGACACGAGGAGCCAGTTTCCCAGCCATCTTTTCAACGCCCACCAGTCTGAAGCAAATAAAGTTCACAAATGGTCCTGGCAATTCGCATCCCAGAGAAACATTCAGGTGTCAGCTCCCAAGAACTGACTTCTACGTTACCTTTAGACTTTTCCAGCAATTCTTTAAAAATTGGGTGAATGAATCTAGACAACTTACACACCAGGGGGGACATACACTCATTCCTACACAACCTCAAGGCAACTGTAGCACAGTAAGGCAGAGGAGGGCTCCTGCTGTTGCATAACGGATTGGATTCATTACATTACAGGTATGTAACTGCTACTGACCTGCCATGAGCTTCTTCAGCAACTTCTGGCTCTTGTTTGAGTCCCGTTGAAGAATGTCCTGCTCTTCTTTAGTGCATACCTTAAGGAAAAATTGAAGACTTAGGAAGGACATCATGTGCTTGACCAGCTTCAGAGCCTTGGACAACAGCTCAGGGTAAGCTGTTTAAAACAGCTGAGACAGTCCTCACTTCCTTCCCTTCAGCGTTATTTACAGAGAGAAACCTGAAAGCTCATTCTGTACTAAAAGCCATCCAGGAGAAACGTGCAGCCTGGTCCTTCTCTGCTCTGTGCGTGAGCACACGACCAGATGATCTCGAAGGACGAGAAACGCACTCAAAACCTCCCCGAGCAGATGAGCAACTCTAAGCACAGAAGTCCTCTCTCTTAGATAACCACTTGGAGCTAAACACATCTTTAAAAATAGCAACCAATTTGATTGAAAACATTTTCTTCATCCAACCAATATTTTCCTCTCTCCTGAAGTTAATTTTACTTAATCTGTAGTCATTAACTCGCCCACTTTCTCCAGAAGGTGCCCTTTCAAACAAATGCAGGGTGTAACAGGTATCCCAAGTGACACATGCCATACAAGTGCTGAAGAGAAGTCACCACAGCGGCCCTGCCCACGTCCGCCACCCCTTACAAGGCCACCAGGGCTGCGCCCAGGATGGGGCTGAAGCCTTGCACACATTTTGGACACTAATGTGACACACAGGACAGCCCCAGGAAACTGTCATAAATCAGGCAACCTCCAAAGTCATGTGAATTACGAGGGAAACCTCTCTGCTCTCAGAAGCCGCACATCATAAAAGAAACACAAAGTGACCTAAAGCCACAGCACTTCTCCTTCCCCCAGAAGGAGATAGTACAGGTTCTTTTCCGCCCAGCTTTAAGAGCTTGGAAACCTTTGCTAGAGAAACTTTGATGTGAGAGGCCAATTCAGCCCCATGCCATTTCAAATCCCTGAGCAAACTGCGCCACATCCAAGCACAGCAAATAAAAACCACCTCGTCACTAACCAGGGAACCACAGAACAAGCAGGGTCCAGAGCCCTCCTGCTCACAGACAATGCGCCCGCAAACCAAGCAGTTGTTGATGAGCTTGTGCTTCTGGCCCAGGCACTCGCAGGCGTGACGGCCAGGGATCAGCACGGCCAGCTTGTCTTGCCCCTCCTTGGTGTACAGGCTGACGTATTTGGGCTTCTTCTTAGAGGAATTGCTCCCGCCACTGACTCCACCGCTGTTCTCCTGGGCCTGAGAAGCAAAAAAATAGAGAAACAAACTGTATTCACACTGCAACACCAGCAGCAAAGGGAAAACACCCACCTTTGAACAGGCTGGGGAGACTCAGACAAGGGTCACCCTGTAACTGGAATGAAACTTGGACCAGCCCCCAGATTCAACGGAAAGACAAGCCTAGGCCTGCCAGAAAAGGTCCAAGGAATCTAAACAAAGCAAGGACACAAGGATGCTGTGGATCCACTTGATGTTTGCTGCCTCTGCAAGCTAAAACTGCTTGGGTCTAGATGGCTGGCGTGCTGTCAGCCCTCCGGTCCTGCATTACCAACTCACGGGTATTTAACAGCTTCAAACAGCAACTCAGCTACAGCCAGATTTATTTTCAAGGTCTATTTAGGTTATAGCAATCCCCTGTTCATAATTGTGAAGTCCTGTGTGTGCCTGTCCCCAGAAGCAGAGCCACTGGTGGCAGCAGGACCTTGTCATTCACAGGAAGTTCACCACTCAGCATTTTTTGTTTTCCACTCAACACAGCCACCTGAGCAGAGGTTTTCCATGCACTGCATGTTCAAGTATTTAGCTGTAATCTAAGTTCTTCTCCTCATTTCATGACTTGGCATCAGTGATTCTGCCATTCACCTCTCTGAGTTTCAATCAGGGACTGCACAGGGTCTGGCCTTGGGTGAGGGACTAAGCTTTGGGTCAGGTTGCAGTAGAGAAACCCTTATCTGAAAGAAAGCAAGGTATATTCGATGGCTGGATTAATAATCTCACAGTGGAGTTCTCTGTTTTCTCCCTCAGACCTTACACCTCGATCAGAGAAACAATAGGTTCCTCCTCCCACCCACCATCTCCAGCAGGTACCAGTTGAGAAGCGAATTGTTAAGAAGTTAACTGCAGGAATTAATTACAGCACAGAAATCATCCCAGAGGAACAGAACAAAGCCAACTGCTACCATTCCTCTGATGATACTCAAAACCAGATGCTTTGAAAAGCAAGCGCAGCACACTCCAGGCACAAGCACTAGATGAGACTGGATTCAGCCATGACTTGTGTGTTGGCCATGACCAAGAGAGACTAGGATTTATTTGCTGGAGCTATTTCAGCAAGCAGCACTCCAGTATAAACACACTCTGTGGCCTTTACTAGTCATATCCATGACACACTTGAAAATCCTCTTGCAGCTCAAGCGCAGCTTTTCTTTCCCTCTCCTCTCCACAGCCTCTCTCGACAATAGAAAAGAGGATTTCTCAGAAGCCCTTTCCCAGAAAGCCTGTTTTCATTCTCCACAGAAAAACAACTTGCTCTCTCTGCTGCACGCTCGAGGATCGCGCCCGCTCCCTGCCCCACACCTCAGCCAGCGGCTGCTGCTTCTTTGGCCATGTCCTCCCACGCTGCTTTTCTCAGCGACGGGGCCGTGCTGTGGCACTGGGGCACCTCTTGCCTTGACTCTTTTTATCTGCTCGCAATGGCAGCAGGCTAGTGGCTCAGTGACAAGGGATGCAGCACTTCCAGTACCCCCAGTTCCGCCCAGCAGGCTTTACTGCCACTGCCAGATCCAAACACTACTGTCAGGAACAAAAATAACCAAAACCAGACAAAGCAACCTTGGTTAGCAAACCTCGGCAGAGCTTTCTCAGCTTGCTGTTGGTTTTTTTTTTAATTAAGTTTGAAGACAGCTACAAGGAAATGGAACATTACACTCCATTTTTAACCCTCCAGTTCAAAAAATATGGGGTTTTTATCTTAAAAACAAATACTTTTACATGAACTTCAAGAATTTGCAGCCTCCCTACTACAAAAATTTCAATTTAAAAATATAAATTCCACCATTTCTTCAGGATTTAGATGTTGCTCGGTCACAGTTGCACCTGGCAAAATCATGGAATTTAACTTTGGGAGGCACAACCAATGCTTGACATTTATAGCCTGAAGGACTCCACGGCAGATCTAAGGAGGCACGTTGAGCGCGCTGCACACCCCCACAGGTGTCCCTGTGCAGCACACCCTCACACCTCAGGCAGCAATCCAGCTGTATTTGGTGCCAGCCAGTGCCGCCAGTCAGTGTACAGCTGGACCCAGGCCTAAGGAAGGAGCTCGGGTTCGCAGCTCTGAGTCAAAATCCACTACTGGAAATAAAATCCAGAAATTCAGCCTAGCTAATTACATTGACATTTAATGACAAAGATCGTCACATTTGATGTGCTGACTGTGGGAAACGCTGAACGGAAAGCAAGTCTGATGCAAAAAGTTAACTATCACAGAGACAGGCAACTACTGCTTGCTGCACGGCCTTGTGCTGCTTCAAAATAGGGGGATTTCCTGGGTTTCAGTGTTTCTACACTCTTATTTTGCAGTTTCTTTCATTGTAGCTCAGGCTGTTTATGAATACTGAAAAAAAAATCTCTCCACAAAACAGAACAACATCTCAACCTGAACACTACAGGTGCAGGAGTAGAGCTGAAGGGGAGAGAGAAACAGCCAAGCCAGAGCTGCTGCTCAGTGGAGAGGCATCACCACAGCTCTCAGATCCCTCCATCTAGTGCCCAAGGCCTCCTCCCCAAAGCAGCCTGAAACATTTCGGTTGCCAGTTAAAGCGTTATTCAGCGTGACTGGGAAGGTTTAAATACAGCAAGAAGGAATGTTCTACCCACTTGACGGCTTCCTCAATTTCTCAACCTTCACATCTCTGCTTTAAAGAAATACCTTTTACTACTAATGACAGCATCTACTTCCATCGTCTGCTCTCTCACATCCAGGTTTCTTCCGGGGGGAGTAAAATCCATTTTGAGATAGTCACTACCTGATTATTATTTTACTCTCCGTTATAGACACAAACATGCAATCTTTCTCCCCACTCTCACATTATCTGCCCCAGAGCAGTGAGACTGTGTCCAGTTTTGGGCCCCCTACCATAAAAAAGACATTGAGGTGCTGGAGCGGGTCCAGAGAAGGGCAACAAAGATGGTGAGGGGTCTGGAGCACAAGTCTTATGAGGAGAGGCTGAGGGAGCTGGGGTTATTCAGCCTGGAGAAGAGGAGGCTGAGGGGAGATCTTATTGCTCTCTACAACTACCTGAAAGGAGGGTGTAGAGAGGTGGGGGTCGGTCTCTTTCTCAAGTCACAGGCGACAGGACAAGAGGAAATGGCCTCAAGTTGCGCCAGGGGAGGTTCAGGCTGGATTTTAGGAAAAAGTTCAAAATTTGGGGAGTGGTTTCAAGGACCATGCCACAAATGTGTTATTGCGACAGGACAAGAGGAAATGGCCTCAAGTTGCGCCAGGGTAGGTTCAGGCTGGATATTAGGAAAAATTTTTTCACTGAAAGGGTTATCAGCCATTGGAATGGGCTGCCCAGGGAGGTGGTTGAGGCCCCATCCCTGGAGGTGTTCAAAAGACGGGTTGATGTAGTGCTGGGAGGTATGGTTTAGTGATGATGCTCCCTGTTTGTTGTGTGGGTGTCTATTTTTGTCAGTTAGGTTGACGGTTGGACAAGATGATCTTTAAGGTCCCTTCCAACCTAGAAGATTCTGTGACTCTGTGATTCTGAGACTCCCGGACACACATACAGGGTATGAGCACAGCCCGTCCAAATCCCCCGTCAGCTTTGAACAGTCGGTGCAGGGGAACAGACACCCCCTCATTGCAACTGGGCAACCGCACAACTCGCTGACAGAGCCCTTTCCCCAGGCTCAAAGCGTGCCCTCAGCAGCCAGTCTCACAGCCTGCTCCGGGCACCAGACACACTCACCTTGGCCAGGTCGAGGGGGGTTTTTACTTCCTCTACGTGTGCGCTTGGCTCAGCGTACGCAGGCGTCTCCTGCTTGTTCCTTCCTTTGCGTTTACCCTTCTTCCCTTGGTCTCCAGCCCGAGGCACTTCCGAAGCCTCTGGAAACGTGCAAAAGCACAAAGGCTGGGTAACTACCAGCAAAAGAAAGACATCCCCAACCGCTTGGTGAACGAAAATTAGCTTTACATTGCCACGATGAACAGAAATACGACCAGTCACGGGGACTGGCTTCAGGTAATTGTTAATAAAAGGAATAACTGAGACAAGCTTATTTGAGACTTCAATTCTTTCCTCCCTGTACCACTCACCATCCTTTTTCCGATACCCTGGCAAAGGCTCGGAGGGCAGCTGGGAGGACTTCCGCCACCTTGACAGCAGCTCTTCTACAAACCGACTCTTCTCCCCATCAGTCCCCTGGATGAGGTCAATGACATACTCCCGGATCTCCTCCTCGTTTGTTATCGACAAGATGTACCTGCAAGAGGACAGGATGGATCAAAATGGGCAAGGGGGCTTTTGTTCTGAGGAAACCAACAACCTAATCGCACATGTATGTAATGAGTGCAACACAGCTCTCCTCTTCAGATCAGGCTTCTGCACAGGCTGTGGTAAGGAATGGGTTTATGAGTCAAAGTTTGAGACAGACACCTTGGGAAATCCCCTGTGGTTCTTTCACTGGAAAAAAGAAACGGAAAGTAAATATCTTTCTCCCCCTGTTGCAGGGCAGTGACAGCCCTCTGATCCTTCTGCCAAACACTAAAAAATTCACTCTGAGACTCCAGTTCCCACCGAGTAACATAAAAAATCTAACCATAAACCAACAAGCTCCTGCTCAAACACATGGTGACAGCAGCACACCCTTCCTCACCTACCCACAAGGACCGTGCCACCTCCCACCCCTCGGTCCCCTCACGGGACACCCACCCGCGGGGCAACGCGGGGCGCAGATCGCCCAGGAGCGGCTCTGAAAACACCATTTCCCCTCTGCGTTGGCCGAGGGGGCACCCGGAGGCGACGCGAGGGGCCACCGCGGCCTGTCAGAGCCGGCCGGGGAGGAAGGACCCGCTAGGCCCTGGCGAAGGGTTCGGCCCCGAGGGGCCCGCCCCGGCTCCGGCCCACCCCGGGGCGGCCCCGGCCCCGCTCACCTCACCACCTCCTCGCCCACGTCCAGCCCGAAGTCTCCGCGGAGGTGCTGGACGCACCAGGCCAGGAGCGGGCTGGGCGCCGCCATCTTCCGCCCGGGGGAAGGCAAACGGCGCCGCACCGCCCCGGCGACCGCCCTTCCCCGGGAACGCGGCCGCGGCGACACCGTTCCGGGGCTCCCCGCGGGGGCCGGAGGGGAGGGAGGGCGGCCCTTGTCCTCCCCCTCGCTGCCGGGGAAGCGGGGCAGGGGTGTGAGGAGAGGCCGGGGGAGCGGCAGCAGCCCTCACTGGGAGAGCACCCTGTCCCCCAGTCCCTTCGGTTGTGCCACTCGGGCCGTGACAGGGCTCTGCCGAAGGGTGCCAGCACCACGAAATAGAGGGGGAGGGAGAATTGCACCATCACTGGAATACGCTAGCACTAAAAGCTTGGTTAAGCAAACACACATTAGGATGAACATTAAAAGATAAAGGGAGCATTAAAGATAAATGCATTTGGGACCAACATGGCTGAGATGTTGGACACACTGGAGAAGGACAGTGTGATTTCTTGGAGAAACCAGCGCTGGGTGGGTCTTGGGAGAGGGGTTCATCCAGAGCCCCTGGCCCCACCAGCTGCCAGGCTAAAGCACAGTGAGACCCTCACATCAGAGGGAGCTCCGGGCGCAGCCTGGAGGCAGGAGGTGAGAAGAGGTCCCATCCCTGCCCCACCAGTGCCTGGGCGCCATGCCTAGCTGGGCTCCCCGGCTGCCTCTGTGTCCCTCCTGGCACACTGCCTTGCTCCCGGGGGACATGGATTACCCCCCAGCGCTGCCCGGCATCCACCACGTCTGTGCAGTCCTGCGGTGCCTTCGGTCCGGGAACATGCTGAAAAAGACCATGAAGAAACACCGTTTTTCAGCCAGAGAAGTTCTCCCACCCTGTTCCCTCACACTGGACCCACCCGAGCTCGTGCTGGTGCTGAAGAAAAGCGTCTGGGACCAAAATGTGAGGTGTTGCAGGGCTTTCTGTGCTCCCAGCCACTGCAGCTCGCTGACTTCTCTTTTTTCCTTTTTTTTTTTTTTTTTTAAATGCTGTGGGCAGGCAGCAAACTGTTGAGAGCCAAGGCTTCACATCTGCAAGGACCTGGAAGGGAACAAATATTTTTTTTCCTTTTTTTTTTTTTTTTTAAATGCTGTGGGCAGGCAGCAAACTGTTGAGAGCCAAGGCTTCACATCTGCAAGGACCTGGAAGGGAACAAATATCCCTCTCTTGGCAAGGCTGGGTGGTGGTGTTCATGGCCCTGCCTGCAGCTGAGCGCTGCCATCACGATTTGTCAGATGGAGGAGCAGAATCACCCTTCCTCCTCTCCCCTCGGGCTGCTGTGGTACCAGTGAGTGCCAGTGCTGTGCTGTGGGGCTGGGGTGCCAGGGGAGCTGGGGGCAGCGGGCTGAGGGGAGAGGCCCTGATGGTAGAGACCCTGAGGGGAGCCATGCTGAGGGGGGCAGGCTGAGGGGAGAGACCCTGAGGGAGAGACCCCGAGGGGAGCCGTGCTGAAGGGACAGGGCCGAGGGGAGTGGAGATGAGGGGAGTGAGACTCTGAGGAGACCCCCATTGAGGGGAGAGACCCTGAGGGAACTCACACTGACGGGGCCCACACTGAGGGCGGCAGCGCTGAGGTGACCGCAGCGGTGGGAGCGGGCTGAACGTGACGGGGCTGAGGGGAAGAACCCCGATGGGGACGGTGCTGAGGGGAACCTACCCCGATGGCAACGATCTGAGGGGAAGGACCCTGATGGGATCGGCCTGAGGGGAAGGACTCCGGTGGGGACGGCGCTGAGAGGAGCTACCCCGGCGGCAACGGTGTGAGGGGAAAGGATCTCGATGGGGACGGGGCTGAGGGGAAGGTCCCCAATGGCAACGACCTGAGGGGAAGGACCCTGACGGGGACGGGGCTGAGGGGAAGGTCCCCGATGGGAACGATGTGAGGGGAAGGACCCTGACAGGGACGGGGCTGAGGGGAAGGTCCCCGATGGGAACGATGTGAGGGGAAGGACCCTGACAGGGACGGGGCTGAGGGGAAGGTCCCCGACGGGCACGATGTGAGGGGCAGGACCCTGACGGGGACGGGGCTGAGGGGAAGGTCCCCGATGGGAACGATGTGGGGGGAAGGACCTCGATGGGGACGGGGCTGAGGGGAAGGTCCCCAATGGCAACGACCTGAGGGGAAGGACCCTGACGGGGACGGGGCTGAGGGGAAGGTCCCCGATGGGAACGATGTGAGGGGAAGGACCCTGACAGGGACGGGGCTGAGGGGAAGGTCCCCGACGGGCACGATGTGAGGGGCAGGACCCTGACGGGGACGGGGCTGAGGGGAAGGTCCCCGACGGGCACGATGTGAGGGGCAGGACCCCGATGGGACGGGGCTGAGGAGAGCGGTGGGAGGGGCCCCGCGCGCCGCGCCTCAGGGAGGGGAGCGTCCCGTCGCGCTCCCATTGGCGGGCGCCGGCCAATGGCGTCTCCCCGCGGGCGGGGGCACCTCCCGCGCGGGGCGAGCGGCGGGGATGGCGCGGACCAAGGCGAGCGGCGGGGCCGGGCGCAAAGGTGCGGGACGGGACGGGACGGGACGGGACGGGACGGAACGGAACGGAACGGACGGAGGGACCGCACCGCACCGGTTACCGCCGCTCACCGCTCCGCTCTCCCCGCAGTGCTGGTCGCCAGGGCTCCCCGGAAGGTGCTGGGCTCCAGCAGCCTCAACGCGGGACCGTCGCCGGCCGCCAAGAGAGGTGAGAGCGGGGCGCGGCCGGGGCTCCCCCCTCCTCCCTCCCGCCCGGCCGGCCTGCGGCGGGACTGACGGCCACGCTCCCCGCAGGCAAAGGTCGCCGTGGAGGGGGGAACCCCGCGTGCCCCAGGCCCGCACCCGCCTGGCAGAAGGGCATCGGCGAGTTCCTGCGGCTGGCGGAGAAGGAGAACCGGGAGCCCGACGGAGAGGCGGCGGG